TAACTTGATGCCCGTAACAGGCAGGAATAGTCTGATTTTCAAAAGTATAACATTTATCATAAAAACTATTCAATGGAAGTAATGTACAATACTCTTATGTAATGACAATTTTCAGTGTTACTATTGAATAGACTGCGACACACGAGGTACCAATAAATCGACGTTGTCAGAAACACAAAACACATGTGTCCAATTTTCCGACGGTCAGTAGATAGCATAAAACTAGAAATACACAAGTAAATAAGTTCCTACCGTGATTTTAGACGACTCAAGCAGACCAAGCGCTATTTATCTACCGCTCCCTACTATTATAGTGTGTGGTAACTAACACAATTACCAACACAAACGCGTATTTGACCTTCGCGTTCCTAAAACTCTGCGGCAGCCGCCATGTTTCGTCTAATGGCCAAAATACCTAACCAAAACCTGTCAATAGGTGGCGCTATAACCAAATAAGGCTATAGTATGTGCTTTTGGTCGTAACATTCCGGCCCACTAATAGAGAGAAAACTTCTTTCGAACTATTACAAATAACTTATACATGTGCAGGACAAAAACCTACAAATATCTGATTAACCAAAGATGGTAATAAAAGTTCACTGTGCTCTGCTATCTGAATCGGCCTCGAGTATCAGGTACAGCTTGTTACCTAGCTTGTTGCTTGTTCACTGGGCGTGTTAAAATGTTCACTTTTGTTTTTAGTTTAATGAAACGAACGAATCCTCTGCTGTCTTTCATAATTTCGATGACCTTTCTCATGGGCCAAGATCCTCTTGTTGCAGAACTATCAATTACGAGTACTATGTCTCCAATAGGTTTCTTCTTGGTTGAATCCACCTTTGCCTTTCCTGTAAAGTAAGTAAGTATTCTTTTGTCCACCGCTTCCACAATATGTCAGCTAAGTACTGTATTTGACGCCAACATCTACGAGCATACACATCATTCTTACTAAAAAGGCCAGGTGGCAGATTCTGTCTCGGCTGCAGCAATAACAAATGATTTGGAGTAAGAGCTTCTAAGTCGTTTACATCACCAGACACTTGTGTGATAGGACAGCTGTTAATAATAGACTCTACTTCGCAAAAGTGTTCGAAGTGATTCATCAGATAGGTGGATAAACTGTTCCTTAAGAAGTGAGAAGAGGACTTTCCTAAATGTACGGATTTGCCGCTCCCACACTCCTCCAAAATGAGAAGCTGCTGGTGTGTTGAACTTCCAGGTTATTTCTTTCTGCTGTAGTGCTTTATCAATTTTTGTTCTGATTCCATCTTTCGATTACTTGACGTAGTTCTCGTTGAGCTTCTATGAAATTGGTACCATTGTCAGATCTGATTACTTTCACCTGACCTCTCCTTGCTATGAATCTATGAAGACTGTTAATGAAAGAATCAGTGTCAAGTGAATTTGAATCTCTAGATGTATGGCACGGGTAGCAAGACACGTGAAGATAGCACCATAACGCTTAACTGTAGTGAGTCCACGTTTAACTTCTAAGGGACCAAACTAGTCTACGCTGGTACGAGTGGAGGGTGGTTCCTCGGGTGTAAGACGATCTACAGGAAGACTCGTCATCTTCAGTTCTCCAACTTGTGAGCGATACCGACGACATGTTACACAATTATTTATAATGCGTCTTATGGCTGCATTCACTCGTAGTATCCAGTATTTACTCCTTACTGTTGACAGCATTGTACCCCTACCTAGATGTCCAACGGCCCTATGAACATCTTCTAAGATTAATTTGGATACAAATGAGTCCTTTGGCAGGACTATTGGGTGCTTCATTGGGATTGGCAGTGATGCACGATCAAAACGCCCACCAACCCGTAGTAGACCATCTTTCAGGATTGGGTCTAATTTATACAGTGAGCTGGTTCTCTTTATCATTTTTCCTTTATCAGAATGATAACTCTTCAACACTTCAAGTTCACTCAATATTGACGTTTCTGCTGACTGCAACATTTCAAGGCTTAGGGTTGCATGTTTGCCATTCTGGACTGACTTAAATTTCATCTTGTTCAACTTCTCCTGCACAAGTATATATCTTTTTTGTTGGTTTACCTCTACTTCTATGAGTTTTTCTTGGAGGTCTTTACGATGCTTTACCCACTGCTGTAAAGTTACTCTGTAGGCTTCAAACCAAGCAACTGCCCTCTTTAGCTTTGACCATGAGGAGAAGTGTGTTAACAGCTTGTTCATCACCACTGATGCATCACTCACTACCATAGTGTGCACTTCCCTTTTCACCTCTGGATCTCCATCTGGAATAACTTTACTGACTACAACTGACTGTGGCTATTCACTTTCTTTTTGCCATAAGAAACCAGGTCCTTCTAGCCATCTTTTGTTGCAGAGAAACTTATCAGCAGTCATTCCTCTGGAT